AACTTTCATCAATATCAACTTTTTTTTGAAAGATCTTTAAACAATTAGTTTTGAAAGATATTTATTTTACATTTTGTCCTCTTTAAACAATTGTTTGATAGATAGTTTATCAATGAGTGAAATGGATAACCTAATTTATTTTGATCTAAATAAATATAATTAAATGATACAAATTGAACAGCTGGACCCTATTAAAAAATCCACAAAATTATTATTTTATTTCATGGCCATTATTGTCAATTTAATTTTTATTCATTTGACTGTAGGTTTTATTCATTTTTAAGTTTGCTAATCGTGACAGTGATTCTTCTGTAAACATTCGAATACCGAAATGACCCTTTCCTCAAATCGTATTTAAATTAAACAAACCAAAGCGTGGTAAGTATTATTTTCATATTTTCTACTTAGCTGTTTGCCTCAATTTTTTCTTCAAACAAAAATTTTCCTTTTCTGTTTAACTTTCACTTTATGGAATATTTTTAATTCGAAAATTGTTTTATATGAGCTATAATATATGAATAGCAGTAATTTTAGCAATATTCTTTTTTATATTTTTATCAGAACATCTCTTTTTCTGTTTATTTTGAGTTTTTTTACTGGCTTACTTAATTGAAATAATTTGGATCTGTTTCCTTTAATTGATTGTTTTTGCTTAATTTGTTCTCGTTTCATCATTTTTATTCAAAATTAACTTTTGATTAAATCAAACGTTAACATGAGATGACAATGAAACGCATGCCTGTAATTTATTTCCCATTTTGTTTGTAAATCAAAGGTCTCGCTTCAGATCTATCCTTTGACACTAAAATTTACTACCAATTTAATTTACCAACGAATTGGAAATACATCATATGATCGGTATGGCAAAGATCATTAATGATCAAATATGACACATTGATTTATTTATGAATTTTTAAAATTTTTTATAAAATTACAACTCTTGAAATCTTATCTACTAATATCTTAATACTAGTAATTAATAGGGATTTTGTTTGGAGTATTTTATGTATATTTTCACTTTAAATAACAACTACTTCGATGTAATCCTCAAGCAATCACAGTATTTTGTTGGAAAAGAAAGAAGGAATTAATAAATCAAATTCAAACTATAACTTGAAAGAAGCGACAAAATCTTAACAATGATAACTTCACTTGAAAATTAATGAAATTCAGGATGGCACTTAAGCTATCAGCACTGGTAAACTTATCCTGCTCATTGCTTTGGATATTTCAATCAGCTGAAGGTTATCGTATTATTATTATTATTACCTAAACTATATTATCTTCACAAAATTTAATACATTTCTTTATTTTCATTTTTTGCTAATTTTGGAATGCGATTCAATTTATAGGTCGCTTTATTCAAAACAATGAACAATCACCAAAACGAGCAATTGACATTAAATCACTTTCAAATTTAAACATAACCGATGCTAGAAGTTTGGATGTTCAAAAATTAAATAAGCTTATTTCGCTTATCGATAAAACATGGATTTTACCTCATCCTGGTGCTCATCAACCTATTGGTTCTAACTTTAAGGTTAATCATTATAATGAAATTTTCTAAAAATTTCATCAAATCTTTCGTTTTTTTATTCTTGATTTGTTATCAGGAAAAGTATTCGCTTTCTAGTTTTATTTCAGAACAAAAAAACATGTGCAAATATTTATCAAACCCAAGAAAATGCTTGCCAAGAAATCGGCTTTGGTACAATATGTTTCAATTATTGCTTCGAGCAAGGTATCACTTCTTCCACTTTTATCTCCTGATTCATTAATTTAAATTAGATAATATTTGATAATGGTAACTGTTAATTCAAATAAAATGAATGAAGCGATCAGTATTATATAGTTGACATTTTTCTAACACAAAAATTGATGTCCGATTTATTTTTTCGTATGCTACAAGAGAATAGCACTGAAAAGTGACTAAATTAAACACTAAACGATAACGACATGTATTTTTGGTCACAAATTAATTTATACACTCGTCGTTAATGCTAAAGCATACTTACGATTCTGACGATGAATAAATGATTTGTAAATATCCCTATATCACTATGATTTCTTAGGTGAAGCATTGAAATTTCGATGTCAGAATGTAGCCGATTCAATATATTGCAAAAATAATTCGGCATTTGATTCATTCCTCATGCAGTATCAAAATAATCCTCACAAAGCTAAAAGCTATATTCGTCAGGTTATCACTTTTCAAATTTATAAAATTAATTTGAAACATCGCTACAATGAAGTAAATGTTTGAATATTTTTATTACAGTTTCCTTTTTAAATGACACTTGAAGTAGCTAAAAAATATGAATTAAACGATGGAATATACTGTTGGATTTCAGTTTTTGAATTACTTTAAAAATTTGAAATTTTAGCAAACATATTTCCCAGTTATTTATAATTCACCAGTTTTTCTTTTCTAACATAGATAATTTCACGATGCTATGCAACAGCAGTATGTGACACACAATATGGAATTTTAAATACAACAATTATTGATGGAAACAGCGAGGAATGGGGAAGTGATAATGTAGCACCAAGCTTAAACCTAATCACCAATAATAGTGTATGATTAATTTTGGAATATCCTGATAAAATATCGTGATTTTAATGAAAATAAAATAGCTTAATCGTTTGTGATTTTTGCAAATTCGGTAAGCAAGTAATATTCACAGATAACTGTATCGACTGATTTCTAGCTATTTTAGAAAAAATAGTTTATCGAAATTTCGGCTTGGTACATGTTCAGCGATTGACACATTATTAATGAAAAAAATAACTTAAAAATACAATGAACTATAATTTGAAATGGATGAAAATTTTAGAATCAGCAAATTGTTCAACAACGACTGTCACAAATACAACCAATAAGGCCAATACCAATATGGCAGTTACTTCTACTACGACATAGAATGACTACGGCCGCCAAACCATTCCCGATCGTAAAAGCAATGGAAAATAACGAGCTAATTGAAGCTTCGAGTGAAAAGAGTTTAGAAAAGTAAAAAAAGCTTTCGGATTTTTGAACCAACGAAATATTTGCATAATTTCATTCAATGACCAAAATGAACTATCATTAACCATTTCATCCTTAATATTGTACAATTTCAAGATTTTTTTTTTGCTTTTCAGATTTGGAAATACTGAGATAATGGAAGAAAACAATTCTGAGGATATAAATATAAAAAATAGTTCGGAATTTACGCGAGAAGTAACAACATCAACGAAACAAACTGCCTCAAGAAGGGATCAAAATGAAAAGCAAGCAACAGAAAAATTGTTGTGGTTGTGTAAAGTGTTGCAACAAATGAAAAGAAACGAAATTTGCTGAAAATTCCGTTCCCTTTGCAAATAAAACGATACAAAATTTTATAGACATATTTTAAATTATGCCTAAAATAAAATAAATAAGCACATAGACAAAAATATAAAATATATAGATGTAAAAGTGAAAATGATCAAAAATTTTTTTAAACGAAGAGTTGTTGAGGAGGGTTAATTACTGCCAACAGACACAAGTTACTCTTGTCTAATGCATCACGAATCTGCTGATCGAAAGGATTTTCCATCCAGAAATGCTTCACAAACAGAAAAATAAATATTTTAATGCCCTCGACGCCTCCTTTCTGTCACGTCCTTAATAAAATATTTGACCTATAGATTGATATCACATCCAATTGTTAGCTCAACAATTTTGCTAAAATCAAAATTTCAAATTTCATAAAATAAAAGAACTAAAACATATATTATTCAACATAGTAGGTTCATTATGATGGAAAATTTACATTGCCATTTTCTCCTCAATATCTTTTTGAACCTGCAAAATATATACGGTTCCGAAGACGAAAAAAATCTTAACTTCAACAATTCAGCCTTTTTGCATACTCAAACGGCCAAAGTTAAAATTTCTAGCGTGACTTAAGGTTAGAGCCTCAGCTCATCAGGGCTCTGATAGGCCCACATTAGAAGGGAGCCATCGGAGCCATCATAAACTGAGACTAACAAAATGATACCTTAAGCTTCGTCTATAAATGTCAATCTACTCTTCCTCTTCATCACAAACAAATGATATAGGAAAGAATTCTCCAAATTATAAACAAATTATCTAAAAACTAACGATTTTTGCAGCATTCATTCGTTCCATTGTGGTATTGAGATTCTTCAAAGTACGAGTGATCGCACTCCGGACTCTTGCCGTTGATTCCACGTAACCTTGGGCATACTGTGAGTAATTCACATTTGCCATTTCACCAACTATTTTCAATTCACCAGCAAACATTTTATCAAATTTGACGCTCTGCTTCTGAGCTTCTTGTACAACCATCTGTAAAGATTAATCAGGGTATAATAATTTTAACATAATTGCAATTTTGAAATATAGATGTTAGCACCTTACTTGAAGTAATCAAAGAACAGTACAATTTTGCTAAGCATCGTCATCGATTTTTCCACTTTTTCTTCCTATTCCCTTTTCCTTACTCCTTCTTTATCAGTTCTCTCTAATTCTTGAAATTTTAATCAAATGCTTACCTAAAACCAATGTCAACCATTAGCTTATATATCTATGAATTATTAGCAAAACTTACAATATCATTTTCAATTTGATCACAGGTTTCGAGAAAATAATCGAATGAATTGATGTATGCTTCGCTTGGACTTAAAATCTTTTTTTCCAAATTTTCCACCGATTTGGGTTCATCTAATGATTTTACTGAACTTGGATTTGCTGAGAGCGGATTCACGGATTGAGGATTCACTGACTGCGGATTGACGGATTGCGGATTAACAGACATTGGATTATGCATTGCAGTACCAGATCCATCTTGTTGTTGCCGCAAGGTTGAAGGCCGTATCACTTCAGCAGCTGTTTTGCTCCAGTCCTTTTAAAAACTTAAATCAATTAAATCAAATTGAAATAACCAAATAACAGAAAGAATAATATCATTTTTTAAGAAAAGAATCGTGCGATAAGAGAAGAAATTGGGCAAGAATATTTAGAATATATATCCAGAGAAAAGTTAGAGAAACTTTTAAGCCAAAATTTAGCACAATCCCCACAGCCAACAAATCAAAAATTTCTTGTAATTTAATTGTAATACTGTGTTGCCTTACTTGAAGTGAGTACCGAAGATCCCGTAATAACAGGTTTCTGGCTAAGGATACTGGATCTGGTGGTACTATGGTAGGTGTTGATATATTATCCTGGGTAGTAGTAGACTGCACGGACGATGGCGCTTGCTGAGGAGTTGCAGGTGTAGAAACTCGTTGCGATGATGGATTTAAGGTTGAGATCGCATTCAGAGGTGTTTGAGGGTTATTTGATGGCGGTCCGCCAGTTGAAGATGGTCTACCTGGTGTTCCCTGCTGCTGTAAAAACGAGAACTACCTTTCAATATCAAAAGTATAAGAGAATTTTTAAAAAATGTTTCCTGTAACAATGCTTACAAAATTCCAAACAAGAAAAAGAAAACTGATTCAGAAGGACATACTGAAATTCCCTGTGGACCAGGGCCAACAGCTGGACTCCGTGCTTGCCCGTTCACGAAATTGGGATGCGATATTCCCTGTTGCTAAAAAGTTTTGAATGAATCATTATAAAAAAAAAAACTGTAAAAAATTCAACTGATAAAAATTGAGAAAGTTTTTCTTGAGGACACAAAAGACTGCCGCAATCTTATGACCAAGCCAAATCCATAGTAAAGAAAACAAAATTGTCCGTGTAGTGCGTAAAAGAAAAATCATTAATGGCCTGTAGCCAGCAATTTCAGGCAAATAGCTCAAATTATCCACCGAAAACATAATACCAAAAGCTCGAAACAAAAGTAACGAACAAAAGTGATTTTAAAAAAGATTATTCATCTCATGTTATATGACCATTTCAATCATAAGATCATGTTTTAAGTAAATATTCAATTAAAAAAGCTTTAATTAAACATGAATTTCACCTGAATATACCCTTGTTGCGATGCCATCTGAACCTGCTGCATTGGTTGCATTTGTTGATGCTGTACACTCATGTGGCCAGATTGATTGAGGCCTTGTACAATACCCATATGTGTATTCATCATCTGTTGACCCATATGAGCCTGTGATGGCATCATCTGTGGCGGTGCTTGAGCGGCGTTGATCATACCTTGTGGATAACCGGCTTGCGAAACCATTACACCCTGAGGCTAAAATTGGAAAAATGAAAAAATTTTTCATTTTTTTAACATAATCGAAAACTAGAAAGTGGAGTAAATTTAAGGTAGCTAATTACGTATGATCTGTCCAGTTAATTTATGATAACTAATTACATACGCGTAAAATTAAGCGATAAACTACTAATGCCACTTACACGCGAGGGATTCACCAATATAAGTATTTAGATTGCTCCCCTTCCGATTTCAGTTCTCTGTTTTTACCTAAATCTATTCGATCTTTGAAGAATCAAAAATAATGAAAAATATCCAAGAGCAACCTAAGATGTAGAGAATACTTTCTTTGAAAAAAAAAACAGACTAAAAATGTTGAATATTTTCAGGTTTCAATTTTGAAAAGTTTAAAATTCCAAAATAAAATAGATTATTTGAAGAGGCAGTAAATGCGAAATTTCTATTGATTCTTATTATATCTCACCATGTTGATCATCTAATAGTCTTCAAAAAAGCTGTTAGATGATCAACATGGTCAGATATGATAAGAATCAGTACAAAATAGTAAAAGCAAACCGTATTCATCATCTGCTGTGAAGTAATGACCATTCCGGGATGTGACATCATAGCATTCAATTGTCCCGCACTCACTGATCGTGGGATCGATTGATGACCATACATTGTCCTTATCTTACCTATACAAGTTTGAATTTATCCGAAATTGAATTCATATATGAATAAATTGATAAAAACTGTTAGGAGAAAGTAAAATTTTGCCATTGTTATCCAAATAGTTAGATTTCATTATCTTTTATTATCCGCAGCTTATTAATTTCTTAGTTTGATTTAAATTAATTGAAATACGGTTGGGTGAAATTTCAGTTGATGCATCTGTATTCATTCCATTTCATTTCAGAAATACTATAGCAAGTTCGATGTCAACTATTTGCGCATCATAAGGAGATAATTTTAAAACCAATGAAGCTATCATATCTTATAGCATTAATCATCTCCATGTTATAATCTCACCTGATATTCATATTTATGCAGTACGTCATTCGTCACTTTAGCCTAGTCACTTCCGAACAGCACAACAATCACTGTCATATAATGCTAGTCACTTTCATTACTAATATATTAAGCTACATGATAAAATACTGATAAATCCCTGTACTACAATACATAAACCTTCTATGCATTTATATTTAGGAAAATTCCGGAATTTTTAAATTAGTTTTTATGTCTATAAATATACCGAAATTTATGTAATATTTACAGAGAAAAATTTTTTTTGAATAAACGAAACAATCAACTCAATTAATCGATAGCTTAATGTTCAACCACAACTACAGTTCATTATGACCTATAGCAATAATCTAAGGTAGCCAACCTTGTTCAACTTGAAGATTGCCAAGCTAATAATAGCATTTTAATGTTTCACGTAAATGTAACAACAATTTATTGCTCTACATGAAGGTAGCTAACTGAACAATTTACCCCTCCGCGTAAAGGAAATCAGTACTTTATGTTAAATAATTCCGTGGTCCGAGTCACAAAATACTTTGCGTCAAGTGACTATTATACGTAACAGTCGACGTACGAGATGAGGAAACGGATGGGATATATATATGTTTTTCTATTTTTTGTTTAAATTTTTACTATTGCATTTTTCTGTTCGTTTTTGTTTTTATCTATATTTTCTACTTTGCTAATTTATTTGCTTTTTTCGTTGTAAATTATTCCTTCATGCTTGTTTTAATATGGTATACAACGTCATATTATGGTACATAGATAAAATAGAATACTGCCACTGTTAGAATAGATCGTTATTACTCTGCAAGTGATACAATAAACAGGGTGATATGATAAAAAGCATCAATCACGATTATCTCATTATGATTATTATACTCATACATCTCCACATTTATAGGGCTAAGCTAAGGGTAATAGGTTATAAGTAAAAATTTGAAATTGTTCAAGTTTTCTTTGTTCATTTTTATCTCTGCTATTAAAGTTTTAGAGATATTATCAAATTATCAGTTAAAAATTTTTTTGCTTTTTTGAACTTTCACAGGTTTGGTAAATATGAACTTTCACAGGCTTGGTAAATAAGTAATGATATTGGGAATATGTACAGAACTTACCTTCTGTTCATATTACTTCTGTTCTTATATGATGGGTTATGCTTTACTCATTGGATGATTACTGATGATGGACTTACTATAAAATCTGTTGTAAGTTATTCTCATATATTTTTTTAATACTATTAAATGATAGATTGTTATTAGAAAATCCAAGAATTGGAAATATCACGTGGTACTTGAAAATAAGATCATCTTTATTGGATCAGTCAAATATGAAACTTTTTAAGAATGGAATTAGAATAGTTTGTGTACGCCTCTGTCTCTTTCATTTTTTCTAGAGAGATTTCAAATCTCTAAGTAGATGTCATTTTATTTCCAATATAATTTTTTATTGAATACTTTCCTTTCAATTATTATTCCGCTTTACGTTCAAAATGTTTAAATTTTTCTTTCAAATTATTCAAACCAGGAATTATTTTGATCTGCTAACAGTTTAATTTATTATCAGTTATCAGTTTTGAGAATTTTTTCTTCAGTCTGATTCACCGTATCATATGGTACAGCCGCATTCGTTGATACAGTTTTTAGACCAAGAACGAAAATTGAAGAGTATTACACACATGCGGGGTTTTATTGAAGAACATGAGGTTTTGTTCATTTCTATAATTTATTAAAAAAGCATAGTATCTATGAAATAGGAGGAAATATTAAAGCATTTAATGTCTTAAATTTGGGTGAACAATATTCTTAAATAAAATTACCTCAACTTTAATTCGTAATATATTATTACTAAAATATAAGTAAAGTGAAAACTGTTTGCAGAAGAATATCCATATGTACGAAAATGCCGATGATCCAGAACTTGAAACGAAAATTCGTAAAACTGATGAAGATTGCATAGTGGGTGGATCCATGTCGACTAAAAAGGATGCTTTCTTACTAGCATACACGCTTGGGAAGTTGGTTGAAGAGTAAGTGTTTCAAAACTTTGTGAGTAATTTTATTTGATTTTTTTTGCAAAAATAAATTTGATTGGAATTTAGTTTGTATCTGCATCAGTCCTCTTTTTTCCCATATACTGGGAGACACAAGGTATTATGCCAGTATTGCTTTCATCGAGCTTTGAACACATTCTCATTTTATGCATCCCTGCAAGTTCGAACTTACTTTTGAGAGAACCTGAAAGATGGTCTTACGCTGTTATAACTCAATCTTTATGCTATCCATTATAAAAAAAATTAAGCTGGGATAGGTAGATAAACATCGTGTTCGCTATCATTTTCATGTTAATTGTTGATGAATGATTTGAAACTTCTGTTTACTTAAATTTTAAATCTGTTTAATTTTTTGAAGCATAAAATTTTCAGTTTGGAGATTTTAGCCAGCGTTGAATTTAGCGATGATAAGCAAAAGCCTAGAATGGAACCACATTGTATATATAATTTGCAATTTAGTATGTATGCTTTCGAACATCTTCCGGTATGATATTAATATTATAGTCAAAACAATTTTGTATTAAATGTGTTTTCTGTCGACTTGCCTTTATTATTGATTAAGTTGATACGGAGAGAATTAGGAGCAAAACATTACTTATTAATTGGCTGTGCAAGCTTTTACTTTTTTCGATATGCATTTTCAGTTCGTGCAGCAACGTGACAAACTCAAAGTTATCCCCGAAGCCGTATTCGAGAAGTTACTTCCACCAAATTATTCAACCGCTGAATTTGGCAGTCATGTTGCAAAAGCATTAGAAATGGTCTCTTTCATTAATTCTGTTCTTAGGTGAAACTCGCAAATTTTTTTTAATATGTTGTGATATTTCACTAAATAGAATAATTTTAGAAACCAACTAGTGATTCATTTTTGCGGTTAGCTGCTCTTTATTGGCGGATTAAAGGTGATGCTCCAAAAGCTGTGGAATGTTTTCGACGTGCTCTTCACTTTACAACAAAGTAAATCATAGAATCGGATCATTTTTTCATTACTAAACTAGCGAAATGAAAGAAGAAATTCTTGAAAACCTCTTTTTGCTAAAAGTAGATGATACTGAAACGTTCGGCATCAGATTAATTATCTTTAGATACAATAAACTTTCGTAAGTAGAAACTCTATATTTTGTTGGACTGTATTTCTGATGCTGAGGATTTTGTTTGTTTTGCAAAGAAAGTATAAATCCCGTGCAAAACGGTGAAAACTGCAGCTTCTTAGCTCGAGAACTTTTTGGTGATGTGGCTTAGACTTTTCTTCACTATGTATTATTACATTTTGGAATTCTAATAAATTTTTGAGTTTTCCAGAGATGTATTTCTATCTCAATTTTTATCTTTTGCAGAGAAATGCAAGCTCGTACTCAGTTTGATTTTGGGAATTTGATGCATCGTGCTGGGTATCCCTCGGATGCGATCGTTCTTTATCAGGTTTGTTTCCGTCTAATTGAAGACACAACTCCAAATGAGCTTTATTTTAATTTGTGTTTCCAGCTAGCATTATTGAAAATCAATGATGCTGTGATACATGTGGCCCTCGCTGATGCATATGCATTGGTGCAAAACCGATCGGAAGCTATTAGACAGTATGACATTGCTTTTTCATTAGATTCATCAATGAAAAGCGCTCAAATTAAGGTGTGTTTTATAATGCTTTTCAAATAAGCTATTTGTTATTATGAGGCAATGAATTAATTGGACAGTTTTTTCGTTCTGGAACGGTTATAATATTGAGTCCATAAGAACTTAAATTGTAATGATAAGTATAAGATGGAATAAGTAAAACAGGCCTGTCGATTCTAGCATTTATATTTCTATCGTTCTATTATATATCATGAAAATCAATCAATAGTACGAATTAGATTATAGCACCAGAGGTTGGATCTACAAATCGTCATAGTTAAGCAGCATTTTTTAGGCAGGGTCACTGAAATGCGATCAAAAATTAATCAGTGCAATGGAAGAGCAACACAGAAATTTGCTTGATACAATTAGAGAGAAAAACTTGTATAATGACAAGTACAGGACGTTTGCTTCATGATTAATTCTTATATTCTTTTATTTTTCCAGGGTATTTCTATTTCTTCATTTTCAGTTTGGCGACTAGTTTTGATTAGTTTAAAAAATAGAATTATTTTTTAAATTAGTTATTTCAAAACCTCAATTTTATTTCGTTTTTAAGGCTTGAAGCAATAAAAAAGATGGAAGAAAATGTGAAGCGAAATGTTGTAGACCTCGAAGAAAAAGTGCAGTCTGCTCTGATTTATGATTATTTCACATATGGTAGTCTACCCTGTAAGCTTCTCCTCTCTTTTTTTTTGCCTAACATACGAAACTGGATCTTATATTTAGCAATTATATTTAAGGAAAATTCTCAGGCTATTAAATAAGTTCATACTATAATACTTTATTGTTCCAAATTATGTCTCAAACATGTGCATTAATAAGTTACACTGGTTATAGATTCAAGCTGCCGTTCAGTACCTATTGCGAATCGTTTAGTAATGCAGTGCAGCGTAAGCGATTGGCGAAATTATCGAGCTGCTCGCGAAGAAAAGCACCGCAAACTTATTGCAAATGTTAAGCGAAATGCAGCAAAAAACGTATGTTTCTTTTAAGCAACAAATGATAATTCAATTAGTGTAATTGTTTCTGCTGTATGCTATAGATTGACCAGTGTTCTACGATTGATGTTGCTGAGAACTGCTGATGCTTATAATTTCATATTCTCATTACTGCATATGTTTTAGTTTTGTAGCAGTAATCAGAGAAGTGGCCACAGAATGCCATGTAACGACAAAAATATTTTAAGCAGTTTACTGAATTCTTTTTTCCTCCTATTACATGTCAAAATTTGAGCAGTCTTATGATTTATGACTTTTGATTTCTTATTATTTGGTTATATTTAAATAAAACAAAGTGATAAATATTAAAAATTGACTATTTAGAGCATTGGATAAATTATGCAAAAACTCTTGTTTGGAGAATGAGATTATATATATAGAAAGCATATTACAGACACCAAAATACAGTGCTCGAAGCGTTGTGGAAAATTTGAATGATTCTCGTGAATTGACAGTATTTCTAGAGAAACTGGAACTCATGAAAGAAATGAATATGGATGAGCCAATTGGCAAGCCAATTTATCCACGAAAGATGTAAATTATAAATCTGAAATTTGGAATTCTTCTGTAAAACTGAAGTAAATATTGAAATTTTTGATAATTTTTTTCCGAAATTGTCACCAGTAATGTAGAATTTCTTTTTAGATTACCATCAACCAATGAACTTATAGAGCATTATTTGGACAGCAGTTGGCCAAACAAAACATTGTGTGAAAACAGTTATTGGCGTTCTCCGCTTATATCGGCAGAGCATCTCCCCCAACTTTTCTTAAGCCCGGACAATAAAGGATTCAGGTGATCTTTTGGTACTGATTGTAAGATTTTTTTCTGATAGTATTAACTACCTTTTATTATACTTATAAATTAGGTCATTCGATTTACTTGGGAAATATCTTGGTTTGAACGATGGTGAAGAACATCCATTTCCATGGCATCCGCCTTTTTGTGGCATTTACATATCCGAGGAACCACTGCAAGCTGTACTTAAAGTAATTTTTTATCAATATTAATTTCAGTTGGAAGAATTCATTCTAACGTCAGTAACTAGTTTCAGATATGAGCGATAATTCAATATGATATATGTGTCGAAGAATGTCTTTAAGCAATTTGCTTTTTCTGTGTGCTTATTTTCCTATCTTAATATTCATTGAGTGACAGTGTTGCATTAGCTCTTCGGATCTATTTCTAAGATTGTAACGAATATTAATTTCAAGAAAAAGTTAAGCTATTCTGACTTATGTTCATAGTTAATTGTAGAACTTAAAAAGGTCGTTCTATCAAAAAAATTTTAGCTGCCTGGTATTCGTGCAGCGGCAGCACGAGGTCCCTCTGTACAATTCGCGGAAGATAAGCTTCGGACGGTATTTTTAAAGCTCATGGATGATAAAATTACTGAAGCAGATATTGCGCAACGTATCGGAACTCTTATGAAATACGTTAGTTTCTTCATACTCCATATGTTTTTTTTTCGTTTTTTCATTCATTTTTTCCTAGAAAGAACTGAGTTAGTATGAATTATTTGCTAAATTTGCACAGGTAATTTATCTTAATTGATTAAATTTGAATCTAATTAAATTGCAGAAAATTGGACCACAGTGGTTAATTTACAATTTAGCAGCTTTGTATTGGCGAATTGTTGGTGTACCAGGTGAAGCAGTTACATGTCTTCTTGCAGCTTTGCAAATACAAGTTAGAAATTCTTTTTTGGAAATTTTCTTCATCTTCCAATTTAATATGAAAAAAAATTTGCCAATTACGAAATATCATCGCAATCTTGAAAAAAAACATAGTTGTATTTCTAGCCAGGATTCTGGAATTTAAAAGGATCAATTTAAGTAAACATCCTAAATTTGGGGAAAATGAAATTTGTATTTTCTTTTAATTTTGGGATGCATTATATTATCCAACACCATAAAAGTCTGTAGACTTTTATGGTGTTGGATAATATAATTTTTTTTTTTTGATAATATAATTTACATGTCACTCTATGGGCTTTTTCAAAAATTACAAACAACCTGACATGCAAATTTGTATGGTGCACTTTGTAACTTCGTTTTACAGATATATATCTCTACTACTTCTTCTTAATTTTTATACGATATTATAAAAATATCTTTTTATCATTTTCCTTTTGTTCTGCTTTATCTCTATTTATTTCTATCTTAATCTTTATACAATATTAATTTTTTTCTTATTTGACTGAATTTTTCTGTTAAAGAAGTTAATTGCGATGAATTTAGGTTATGAATTCATTTTGTCATATCATGTCATTCACTTTTTATCATGTGGCATGGATCTTTTTATCATTTATTTTATATTTACCCGTCAACTTAGCATTTATATTACTTGTACTTATTTTTCCATTACCTTTTATTTACTTGAGTTCAGATTCTATTATTGATATTAGACCGTTATGTGAGATTAGCAAATGTGAAACGGTATTTCTCTTTCCCTTCATTATTATTTTTAATTATATTCAGCCTGAACGATACGCAGATGTTGCACTGGTGCAGTTAGCGCAGGTTGTTATCCGTTATGGTACCAGATATGACAATTATCTGAGCGATGCTACTGTTCTGTTGAACAATGCAATGCGTATTGACCCGAATGAGGTTTATTCTCTTCTTTTCATATATTTTAAATTGAAAAATCTATCTATATTTCAAATCCTATGTTTATCTATAACAATAATATTATATACAAACACAGGACTTGAATTATAATTAGAATTTTTAAATCATGAAACTTTAAGGCTCTCCAAACACATATTCCGTACTACCAATGTATGGAATATGTGTATAGAGAGCCCTAACAGTTTTGCGATTTAAAATAATTTTACTGAGAATAGAAGAGCACATCCTTTGATTTCAAACCGAATTAAACTAACTTAAGAAGTGAAAACTGTTCCTATTAATTTCTAGATCGGAATAAATGAAATAAGTTTTGTGAATTAGGTTTCATTTAACATTACAATATTCGTGGCAAAGTTCCAGAATAGTGGAGAGTTTTTTTTGGTCCTTTTCTTTCTTTAGGCTAGCAAATGCTAGCAAACAGAATGGCCGTAAGAAAATTAACCATGTAGTCTAACATAGAAATTAAATATTTATTTCTTTACTAGTTGTTGAGTGACTATATATTATTAAGTTTAATTTGTATTAAATTATTATGCAGTTTATCCATGTAATACTTTTGGAAGTGAATAGGAAATTATTACCGTATATGAGGGGTAATAATTTCCTTTCGCTTTCAAAAGTGTTTGTGATTTATAATATCCCTAAGACCTTGTGAGAATTGGATTTTTTTTTAATTTGACTGTGGAAAGTTTTCAGCCCATAATACATTTTTTAATGGGAATTGTAAAAATTCTCGAAAAGAAACATATCACCGCATTAGCACACATTGGCGCTGCAGTTATTCTGGATCCGTTATTTCAACCAGCTGTTGCTGTGCTTCGTGCATTGAAATGTTTCAGTAAAGTAAGAACTTTATCAACATTTTTGCCAAACTGCTTTTGTTATTGTAGCTGTATTTCAGCTCAGTTCAGTTTTTTTTGACATTTTTTAAAATCTTTTAGTTTAGTTAAAAATTAAACTTCTTTTTAGGTTAAAAATTAACTTTTTCTTTTAGTTAAAAAAATAAACTGATTCAAAGAAAAGTGGACTTGACTGTGTGGGATACATGTTAGCCAACCATTTCTACGGTAAAATTTTGAATAAAAATAATCTATAGAGTAAACAGAATAAACAAGGACTGGTTATCGAACGAATTCATTTACGTTGTTGTTCCAAAGAGGAATTGAATGTTTATTGTTTTGGTATTCTTAGCGATCGATGTTTCACGATATCCGAGAAAGGTGAATTTATGGGAACAACTTGTCCCGTGCACTCTAAAAAGAAAGAAGTGGTCAGCGTTGTTGTTTTTCTTCTTAGTCTTCTATTTTTTTGTGATGTTTTCTTATGTCATTTATATACTATTTTCTAATCATATTTTATTTGTTATTAAATTGCAATTTATTAAAACTGAATATCAATGTACGTATGACCACCTTCTACTTGAAAGAATTCACTTGCCTATATCCTCAAGTTAGGCCCAATGATAAGTAATTGAAATACTGAGACCGTCTGCATTAGGTTATGTTTGAAAGTAGTCTTATAACCAAGGGAAATAGTTAGTCAATTTTTTAAACTATATGTTGTTGTGCAACTAATAAAGAACTGGATCAGTGACCAGTTTAGATTTGCGAGAGAATATTTGTTTCAGGATTTCTGCAGGCGTGCTTTTTCATTTGCACCTTTTATTTTACCTGTGAATCCAAGCAGTGTCGAAGGTATGAACTACTAGATATTTTTAGGCATTATTATCGCTTGAAATTCAGTCTACTGAAATCTACTAGCTGAGAGTATATCTAGAGATAATATTATGATTCAAGTCTTACTAAATCAAAGTTTTATTTTGATTTTCTATTTTTTTTCTAATTTTTCTAAAATATTGCAGAATATTAATAGAGTACTAGAAAGTATATGAAAAAATAATGTTCAAGTGAAGCAACCTGATAATTTTGCAAATAGTTTCTATTACTTTATTTTAATCTAGTAACTGACCTGTAAAAGAGATATTCAAATTTCTTACGCTTTTTTTATCTTACAGGAACTGAAAAAAAAGTGCAAAAGCAGTTAATCAAACACTCAAAGATTGCTCAAAGGAAGACAAATATAGATATTTCTGATGAGGCAATGTTTCTTCATTTACATTTTTATTAAGATATCTGTTCATATATGTATCCAATTTTGTGCATAATACATTTCCTGTATACCGATTTTTTGTTCATCATTTGGTAGGTTACAATTTTTTTTATAATTTATTACAGAATGGGAATTTATGGTAATTATGTTTCTTCTCTTTGCCAATTCAGTCGAAAATGGAATTGCATTTTTGAATAAAGATATTTTAGATCCCATTGGACTATGGAGCTGAAGAAAGTTTACGAAAAATTCAAAAAATGGCTACTCCTTCAACAGAAAGTTTCTTTCAAAGCGAGGTTTATTCGAATTTCCGATTTAGTGGAGCGACTAATTATTGCAGTTCACTGCACTTTTTATGTCTTTTTTTTTATTAAGCTGTGATTTGATCCTTATTCTAAAAATAAGGTTACAATGAAGTTAATAGCTTGTCTGTAGTAGCACAATTTAGATCCTATTTACGGAAAGCGCTTCGCCAAAAGAAACAGAAATGATTAATTCGTGGGAGGCTGATGTACTTGTTGACAAAATAATTATACCAGAGGTAATCTGACTTTGTTTGGAATAAGTATTCTTGTCATTTTATATGCTGTATTTTCTCTCTGTTTAAATATCGTCTTAACATTTTATTACTGAGTTTTAAAATTTAGTAACTTGAAATTCCTGATACTTATTTTAATCTAGATTTCGATTGCTGTCTTATGAAGTTTGTTAAAGGGTCGGCTAACTTTGACGCAGGTTCCAGAACGTCGAAGAATGATTGCTTTCGACATTCCACTCCCTTCCGTATGAAAATTTTTATTTTGTAAACTTTCATTGATTGGAAACTAGTTCGATGCAATTTTTATATCACCTGAAACCACCTAAAGATTCGGGAAAGTGAAATCATTAAGACTCATCCCAAATAAACATTACGTTATTACAGAAATTACCGCTGCCGTCTAAAGATCAGATCACGACTGGTTTCCGATATGTATCACTTCCACCAAAGCGTACGCCAAACAGTAATTTTTGTGCGAATATTAAAATGGTTGGTAATTTAATCGATATGAAAATCATTTAGAATTTAACACTTTCCAAAAAAGCTAGTTGATTCTGCATAAAATGGTATATTTCGTTCTGCATTATTTTATCATAATGATAGTGGCTATCGAAAATAGACAAGATAGCCAAATTGGGATACGCGAATTTATGGTAATAATCACATGAAATATCATAATTTTAATAGGAGTTTTATTATCTTTGAAAAAAAAGTTTAAGAGTGCATTAAAGAAGGCTATTTTTTTAGTTAGAAAGCTAAATTTATCGAGATCTGTTTTTTTTGTTATTCATTCAGGAATTTAATATTTGAATTGTTTTCTAGAAAATAGTACATTGCTGATTTTCAGAGCTTAGCGATTCTTCGAGAACAGAGCACGTCAACTTGGCTATCTGTAACAGCCAAAGGAGTAAATCTGGAGGAATTCATCGATTTCCGAACACCAGTTAATTTAAACGAGGATTTTGAACCTGTTTGTCCAGAATTGCTGTCACCTTCACCACTTCTTACTCTTGACCATCTGCCAGCTTATCATCTTCGTCATCAGTTTATTCATTACAAACCTGAAAAAGGATTAACAGATGCAAGTTTTTAATTCCTATCAAGGCAAAACTGAAGGAAAAATATCGGTAATAACTTGTTGGTTGACGCATATGTTTCATGAATTCTTCATTGAGCGCGACTTAACAAACATGTTTTTACAAAGATTGATTGCATTGCAATCATAATTTGTTTATTAATAGTATTCATTTTATTTCATAATTTTAAGGCATTTCTAAAATTGGGAAAAGGAAAAGAACGAATTGAGATGGTCGCCAAAAGACTGAAGGATGCTATGGCACTGTCATTTGCACAGAGCAAGTTTTTTTTCTTTTGTCTAAAAAGGTGTTTTAAATAATCTGTATTATTTAAATATCTTGGTATTTTAAATAATACGGTTATTGCAGCTCATTAAATGGCTGCTATGATGTTTTTCTGAGCTATGGAAATGAAGTGCAACGTCGAATAAAAAACAGCTTAGAACTTAAGGTTTTTTTTCGTGAATCAAGTACTATTGGCGTTTTTACTTGTAGATAAGGGTCGTGTACACTGGTCTTTATCAACTGCTTCAGCTTTATATTGGCGTGTAAAAGGTGATGCTGTGAATGCACTGAAGTGTCTCAGGCAATCGCTGAATTCAGCTCCACCGGATATGAGAGTAATTTTTCCTATCATAAGAGAAAGAAAAAGAAATAAGTGTATACCTCTGACTTAAGAAATGGTTCATTTTTACATCTTGTTACACACTACATGAAGTCAGAATCTGTAAATTTCTTGGTCGGAAAGTAAGATGAACGTTAACATTCAAGAGTAACAATTTTACAAATCTCAAAACAAATGAAATATTAGAGTCGTTCAGAAATTATCTTCCAGATTCTAGTATTTATATGATTCTGGGACTATTTTTCTTTACAAAAAATTACTATTCGAGGGTCAGAAACATAATAAATTGTTTTACTTTTTGTCTAACTGAATGTAATAAACTGTACTTTTCAGGATGTAGCTTTAGTTAGCATGGCTAATATATACCAACAAGCGGGGTTGTTGCACAGTGCTTTGATTGCTGGTGGTTTTGCGTTAAAAATTTCACCCAAACTTGTTGCTATACATTTTACTCTTGCCAATATTTATGCTTCACTAGTAAGTCATTAAACTTTACACTTAGTTTAGATACGAATTTGAATATGTTATGTGCTGCTAAGTTTTTTTTATATTATTGCTTAAATTAATCTTTCAAGAATGTTTTCTATGTAAATTGCATCTGTCACTGATAATAACTCTAAGAGCAGGAAAAGAATATCCTCTTTCTTACCGTAATGTATTAATTTTTATTGGTAATTGCAAGGTCAGACTAAAAATTATTGCTTAAATTGTACCAAGAAATGAATGATGCACAGATCAACTTTCAAAGTGATTTAAGTTTTAAAACTTTTCACTAAATTACAGGAAAAATACCAGCATGCTTTAATGTTCTATTATTCGACCTTGTCAATGCAATCCAATTTTGAACCAGCGAAAGAACGAATTCGTACGATTTACTGCTTTGCTGAAAGTCTTTCTGTAAATTCATAGTGAAGTTATCACTTAAAATTCTAGTATATAGTTCTCAGAACACTATTTCGTCTCGTAATTATATTTTAATTTCAAAAAAAATTCCAAATCTGTCAATTTTGCTCAATTGATTTTATTTAAGTGAAATCGGAAAAGAAAGAGGAACTTTTTTTCATTTTAATTGCTTCAGTTTCTTTGCATAATTTGTTTCGATTCAAAATTGTTCATGAAATCGTTCTTCACAATTTACCGTTGCTTGATTAATGTCCAGCAATTGCTGCTGCTTCTTATGTTTCGCGATTAAGTATCATGTTTTACTAATTAATCATTTCATGTAATTATTGTTGTATTTTGTTTATGATTCACTAACACAATCATCAGTATTGATCATCCTAAACTGATCAGTTAATTCCAGCATTACGATATTATTTATTTTACTCTTGTTGAGAAATAAGCAAATATTGAATTTTTTCTTTTTCAGTTGGGTATATTCTGTGGTACTTTTCCTTATTTTGCTCATTTTAAGTATATTATTGCCTTTTTGTTATGTTCTGGAATTTTTATATTCTGGGATTATTATGGCTGTGACTTTTATTTTCTCGTCATTTGTTTGAAATTAAAGATTGTAGTATAAATTAGTAATCGTATAGTAGTTTGAATTTTTATTTCAAATATATACTTTAATATATTCGTTGGTTTATTTTGATTATGTAGTAACATATTATCATAATGTACATTAGAATTTTTCGTAATATTTTGATCCGTAACATTTTGATTTTATAACCTGCTAAAAATCTTTGAGCGTAGGAAATTATCAAACTATGGAAAGTTACGAACTTAGTCAATTGATTAGATAGTTTGAAATTTGGATTAAGCTAGATTGGTTAATGCGAGATGATATTAGAATACTTGTTTCATAACTTGAGATATTTAATTTATTAATTTGTTTTTTTCTAGAACTTTATAGTTAATAATCGAATCATGGGAGTAAATTAATAAACAGTAATGTCGAATCCGATAAAAAATGGGTCAGGTAATTGTTTCTTCTTCATGTCTCTCACTCCCGCGAAATATGGCTAAATTCAATAAGGAATCGGTTAATGTCTTATTAGTTCCTTACAGTCGTATTTCTGATAAAATATATGAGTTATGTCGAATATTTAAGTATTATTAAACCGAAAAGATAGTATTCGAAATTTGCTTTATTCATTTATTGTTAAATTAATTTAACAATAAATGAATTTTGAGGTGTCCAGCAAGGAGATGGAATAGAGGATATGTTGCCTGTTGAAGATATATCAAATCTCCAATGCTTGGATTTCGAGGCTAGCACTAGTGGTGATTATGGCGAGCAGTCTTTGAAAGCTCTTAGTTGTGCAACAGTTCGTAATGGTGAATGTTACAATCAGCAGGTCAGTTTCCTTTTTTTTTCGCTTCCTTCTGATCACAAGATTTCGACTAATTGATCTCATTTCTGATATAATTTCAATAAGGAACTTAAAGGTTTTTGCGGAGAATTCGGAGGTTTCGCAGTTTCAATTACCATTGTGTATTTCAAAAGTTAAAGAACGATATGATGGTGTAAGTATTACCATTCCAGTTGGTGGCACGTTATCGCGTGCACCACGAAGCAAAATTGGTTAGTACTATTCGAAATTTCAAGACGCATTAAGAAATGTTTTTTTATACTGCATTTCATCACTAATTAAACTATGAGGAATTATTGAACTTAATCATTTGCCATAATATTTTAGAAACAAAAATTCTATGAACTGAATGAAGCCTAGTTTTAGCGAAACCGAAGTGTGATGGAAATGGGTTCAAATCAACATTAAGAGAACGAAATGCTTCAATGTATCTTAATGAGTGGCTTGCTGATGTTCATTTTATTGTTGGCATTGGCGAAGTTGGTATTATGATTTTAAAAAAATTGAAAAAATTGTTTTTTTTTTCTTCCTTCTAAAGTTTAGAAATTTCAAGAGAACTTTTAGAATCGTGAACGAATCCCGGCTCATTCTTATGTTTTGGCGATAGCATCAGCTCCGTTTAATGCTATGTTCAATGGTGGATTCGAAAAGAATGATGAAATTGAGTTACCAGATGTGGAACCGGTCGCTTTCAAAATTTTACTTAAGTTTGTCGTTAGCATGTGATATTTGCTTAGTATTAATTGCATTCCAGCTTCTAAATTTCTGAAATCAGAAATATAACTTTCTGTAATTAAAATATTGAATCAGTGCTTTTTTCCTATTCGCATTGGTTTTCTGCAGGTATTTATACTGTGACATCATTGAATTGGATTCCTCAAATGCTCTTTCTACGTTATATGCAGCAAAGAAATATATGATAACTCACCTGGTGCATGCAGCCGTTGATTTCCTTAATTTTAATTTGAACGCAGAAAATGTTTGTTTATTGCTTGCTCAAAGGCAACTTTTCGAGGAAGAACAAGAACTAATTGATAGGTAGGTGAATGCAGTAACATTTATTCAAAATTTTGAAGTACATTCTTTAATCAACATATTTAAAAATTTAATTTTAATAATTTTTTGAGTCCAGTGCTTTTGACTAGATAATATAAAATTTAATTATCTATATATTTTAGGTGTTGGAAATTAGTGGAAGTTGACGCAGAACGAGTTTTAATGTCGGATGCCTTCTGCGATATTGATTTCATATTGTTTGACGAGATTTTGTCGCGTGATGCTCTTCTTACGCGCGAAAAATTAATCTATGAAGCAGCGCTAAAGTGGGCGAAAGCTGAATGTGGAAGGTAAATTACTTAATTAAAAAGATGTATCGTTTGCAGGAAAATAGGAAGTTTTCTTTTTTCTTTTTTTTGAAAGATATACTGCTTGAAAGTTATAAATTTGAGCAATATTTAGCTATGTTTCGCATTTTCATTTTCAGCATTGTGAAATTTTGCCGTTATTCTTTCAGGATTGTTGTGAATTTCAGGTAAGCTTCTCTCTTTTGATTATATTCCTTTTTTTGCAGACGGGATTTACCTGTTTCACAATCGAATCTACGGAATATGCTAAGCAAAGCTTTGTACCACATTCGTTTCCCCGCAATGACGATTTATGAATTTGCCAATGGCCCAGCGAAAATGGATTTGCTTACTTGCCAGGTATTTAATGTTCCTGGGAAAACGAATTAATGTCTTTTTCTTGTGTTAAGACGTATATATATATATATGTCGAGAATCGAGAAAATTATCTGATTGTTTCAGGAAATTAATGACATATTTTTACACTTTGCTGCGGAGGAAAAACCCCAATTACCATTCCTCGTAAATAAACGAAGTGGTGTACAACTATATTCATGTCTTCGATTTCAAACAGCTTTGGAAGGGTTTGTCTGTTTTGTATTTACTTCACTGAAAAAAAAAAATTTGTTTCGAAACATGCAATAGTCAACGCACAAAAAAATCGATGTTTCAAAAGATGGTGTAAATTTACATTCGTAAGCATTTATAGAACAAATCAGTGGCGTTATCGTGGACGATGTGATAGTATTCAATTTTTAGTTGATCACCGCATTTACGTCGCTGGTTATGGTTTATATGGTAGTAGTGAAAAAAATTCACAATACAAGGTTTTTTTTTAATATCATTTTTGCAGATATTCTTTCAAAATTTCATTCTTTGATAACTGGCATATATTTTGGGATTTTATCCATCATTTCAAGGGAAGTTGTTTCACTGAAAAAATCTAATTTTGTTGAAACTTTAGGTTAAGATGGAGTTAAAGAGAGGTGATGAAATGATGGAAAGTAAAAAAGCTGTTCTTTCCTCAACGGGTTGCTCAGAACCTATTTTGTTACATTTTGATCACCCCATCCAGGTGATTTGGTTTTTATTGTTTTTATTCGAATTGGAACTGTATCTGATTTTTAGCTTTTAGTGTACACTTTATAGATTGAGGCAGAAGTCAAATATACAGCGTCGATTATCATGGAAGGCAGAGATTTGAGCTTTTTCGGTCAGGAAGTAAGTTTTTTGTCATATGTTTTAATGGACTCTTAGTGTTATTGCACTGAAAACATGAATCCGGGCTGCCGTAGAAAATCAAATTATAATTCAAGTAATTTTTAAAATGTTTTGTAAACCGTAATGTGCACTTATGTACATCGAATCATCATCGACATCATGCATCCTTGGATTTCTCTGCATTTCTGACATTTTACATTTCAATATAAACCTCTCGAATTCAAATTTTAGGGTATGACAGAAGTTGCGGTTACTATTAAGAAGGAACAGACGGGTGACGATGAAGAAAATGACACTGTGAATTTTTATTTTACTCCGTCAGCGGACAGTAGAAATGGCACGGGTGTTCAGGGCGGTCAAATACCAATTATTGCTTTTTATACATGATATTATTTTCTGAAGACTATTTACAAACTTCCACTTTTTCTCTTTGATCAGTTCTTTTTCTCTCTCTGTCTCGCTGTTTTTCTTTTCTGAGAGAAAGGAGAAAAATTTATGTGTGAAATAAGCAATTTTAATTTGTGCAGGAACAATATTATTTCGATAAACACTAGAGACCAGTTAATAGTTCGTGAAGTTTCCTAATCATGATTTTAATAGTCACATGTAAATGTGAATTTTTTTCCTAAAATCTTCTGACAGCAAAACTGAAATCATATTAGCTTCCTATCACCTTATTAAGTGCTGACTCATCGTAACTGTGTTTTATTTTCCGGACAGAATTTTTTATTTACCTTGTATATTTCAACATTAAAATATACACAGCTATAACTTTAAATGATAAGTTATGCAGATACAACAATAAATCCATGAACTACTACCCAACTTATTTAATAATAAACATACAGTAATCATAATAAGATCAAAATTATTGTTTTATTCTTCTAAAACATGGATTAAATATAGACGAAAGAAAAAACATTTATTAGAGCTCTTAGTTAGAAATAAATTATTTTAACTGGTATATTCGTAATCTAATTGATTTTCATTCTGCTTGTTGTACAAAAACTGATCTTAGCAGTCTTTATTACCTTCTAATAAATGGATTAAATAGCTGAAATAAATCATTTGTTAATTTTGCTTTTTGTCTTTATAACATGTTCAATCATGGAAATGCCAAAAAAACATTCGAAAGTTTAGCTAACTCTGAAAAAAGAAATAGGATGGGTTTTCTTTAATTTTAATTTTAATTTTATATAACAATGGTACTGATTACTTGGAAACTAACAATTACGGGAAAAAACACCAAAACAAATGATAGAAATAGTGGCGTCAAAGTAATGATTTCAAAATGCACTGCAAATGAAAAATCGTAAATTTTTCTTAAGGGGCCGAAATATGAATTCAATCGATTTCTCAATTAATTCAAGCGCGAATTGTAAAAAAGTCATAATTTGCAAGAAATTAAATGAATAATTTTTGGAAATTTGTAATGTTTGAAAACAGGGGAGTGAGGGTTCAACTTCATAATTATCTTAATAGTTTGGCAAATTAAACTTTTCTTGGTTAAAAATAAAAAGTGCAAATGGAATAGGTGGTAAATAGGGCCGCGCTTTTTTTGAATAAAATCCATCGGAAAGTATTCTCAAGAATAATTCCGGTAAATATAAGCGTATGGATATAGCGAATAATACTGAAAGTACATGTCCATATAATTTATTTTTGAAAAAAGTTTGAATTAGAAAGAAAGCTTTCAATTATTTTAAAATAAAAAGAAAATTTTTAATAAATTTTGGAACGAGCGCGCTCTTATTAAGTTCTGAAATAGTTTTATTTCAATAAATTTTGAAATAGAAAGGAAAATGAAATCAACAGCTTTATCACTTCCTTTTGTTTTGCTATAGCCAACAAAATTAATAAATTTACTTTTTCGATTGGAATTTTTGTTTTCAATTTATTCAATTTGTTTGCTCTAATTTTTATGGGTAATGTATTTATTGAATGCTCGTTTCAAATATGATTACCAATATTATCACTGAAAATATGCTTACCAGTCGATATGCTTCTCGTATTTGCGCTGCCCAAATTCTCATTCGTCGCCTAAATAAGTCCCATTGATCAATCTGCTGCAATTATAATATTAAATGCCTAATTTTTGCATTAGAAAAATCAAAAAAGGAAATACTACGAAATAATAAATCACAAAAAATGAAATCACAAGTAATAGGGTAAATTGTGCATCAAATCAGAACGAATGCAATATTTGAAAATAAATAATCCACAACAGAGGGGAATCATTTTCTTTTTTTTAAATTGTCAAACAATTTTTATTAACGATTGATTGCTATTTACTAAGGGATAATTTTCTTTTTCATGAAAAAATTGAGTTTTCCAATAATATCATTACATAATCTATTGTAAAAAATTAATAATCAATCTGATCAACATATCTTATGAATTTACTATCTTAATATATTTTTTTCTATCAAAAATTAAACTTTTGTTAAAATCAAATTTAATCTCAACGTATTTACTATTGCTAAAAGTAACACACTGCATTATTTGGTTGGTTAGCATTAGAACAAAATAAATCAACTGTATTGTGATAAGATGGATAATGTTAATCCAAAAGTGACACTGAAACAACAGGATGTAATAATAATA